ATCTTATATTTTTATATTAAAGCGAACCGAAACTGATTACCACCCTAAGCTAGATTGAAGTCATTTTTTTGTTCTAGGTCCAAAAAAATTTAACATCCAAGTTGCATTTGAGTCATTGAGTCAACCAAAAGTAAAAAGAAAAAAAGAAAAATCCAAATATCCAAGTTTCTTTTGACTTTCATATCAATGAATTATTCATATAGAATCCGTCTCACTTCAATTTTATTTCACACTCCGACTCAGACCACCCCGATGCTACTCGCCAGTGGCGGAGTTAATACATTAAAGAAAACATTAGGGGCGGTCGGATGCCTAGCCACCCCTAACGTTTTCTAATTTTACTGTAATAATTAGATAACACATCAAAACATTAAAGAATTGGTTTTTAATTAACATATTTGTATTCAAATAACATGGCCACACTCGGATTCTAAATTGAAAAAGATCCGATTCCGAAATTGAAAAAGACAGTTACATCTTTGGTATGTTTTTTAATTACTATTGTGTATTTAATATTTTGTAATTTGCCATTGATTATATATTATTAAAAATGGTATTTTTTTCTTATAATTATAATGATAAAGTCAATAACGAGTATAATTCAATTAATGAAACATTATTTGTCTATAATTTATATAAATGTTTAATATTTCCATTAAAAAAAAAAAAAAAACTGTTTAGTATTGATTTGTTAACGGAATCAAACAAATTGAATTTGACCTAAAAGAAAGCTAAAAAAACAATTATTTAACTCTAAATAAAAAATCCCCTTTTCATTTCTTATTTTCACATTCCCGCTTCCCTTCTCCCACTTCCTGTGAGATTTCCGATCCGACGATAGTTTGTATCGTTGATGTTTCCCTTCTCCATCGAAGATATACAGTTGACCGATCTCGTCATCCCTCTTCTCTATTTCAGTATTTGCCAACGATTTCCTCTAAAACAAAGACACAGGTAATTTTCGTTCTGACTTCTTTTATGCAAAAGATTGAAGAAAAAAACACTTACAGATAGAAACTTTTTGAGGTGTTTCCCTGAACCGATATCTATAATCGCTGCAAAACCTTTGTTTAACTCAATTCTCAGGGATGAAACAATTTCCAAAACGGGTTTCTGTGGAATCAAAACTTTAGGAATTTTTGTGGAGATCTGTATAAAACACCAACTCATGAATGAGGGTATCAAATTAGTGAGACAGTAAGATAAAACACTTACATGTTGATAAAGGCCAAGACATTTAACCAATTTAAGAATCAGACCGTTACAAACAAGAGTCATCAAATGATATTCCAGCACTTCAAAAATAAACCAGATGATTGAAACTCCAACATACGATTCCACCAGATACCTTCTTATCCTTCTTTAGGAGCACATTAGCGGCTTAGCAGCATTACAGATTATAAAACTTAGATGATGAACAGATAAGAGTAAGACCTCCATTGGTCGTTTCAGCAATGATATTAAGCATGTTTCACATTTGGTGGTATTATATTCAGGGCCGACCCTAGAGGGAGGGCAAGCTGGGCGACCGCCCCGGGCCTCGCCAAATCTTGGGGACCCTAAAAATTACGTTTAATATATATATGTTTAGATAATATAAAAAAGAATATGCAGAAAACGACCAAAAATGCTTGTAGTTGAGATGGGTGAGACGCAAGATGCAAGCAGGAGGGTTATATGTTCGAATCTTGTCACTGCATTTTTTTGGCATTTTTTAATTCTCTTAAATACAAGCAACTTCTTCGTAAATGAATCATCTTTTTTCCGCATCTTTTGATGGAAGCGATTTTTTTTTGTGTCTGGTCATGGAAGCGGGAAAATCAAGTCTCTCAATTCTCCCAAAAGATTCTATTTCCCAAAGCAACCTCTCATAATCGACTTCATAAACAGTAAGCAATAGACACTTGTAATTTGTAAACCCCTTTCTAATATCTGAATGTGTATCGTATCTCTGAATCTGTGTAATATATACTACTTCCGATTTTGAATCCTCCAGTTTTTGGTTTTAAATCTTTAATTTCAAAGGTCTGATCTAGACTTGAGTTTGAAACATATTCCGTTGTCAAGTTCTATGTTTTGATTGTGAACTTCCAATTTGGGACTCGATGAACTCTAAAATATATGATTTATGATTTTGCATCCACAATTTTAGAGAGGAACAGTAAATTGAACGGTTGATTGTGAAAAGCCTTAAACGAAGTGTAGGTATCAAGAAAATGTGGTAAAGTTAATGTTATTAACAACCATACTTTCACTGCCCACCAAGTGTTTGATGATATTCTGAGTTCATTGGAACTATTGGTTTTACATGCTTTGTTCTCTTTTGATTATATTCTAGCTTTCTTTGTTAGTTAATTGGATGTGGATACATAATTCCTTTGTTTTCAGATACTTTAATGCAAAAAACCTTAATCTTATCTTTCGGCTAGCATTCTCTTGAAATTATGTAATTGATGGTGATTCACTTGACAGTTAGTTGAACATTACATCATGCTATATAATTCAGTAATTCACATACTCTTTTAATAAAGATTATTATTGAAAATCGATATAGGATCAATAGATATACTATTTTATTATGTGTTACATGTGCTTGTTAAAGATTAATTGTGTGATTTGTAGTGTTCATTCAGAATTATTTATTTCTGTATTTTTTGTTGGATCCCATTGTCACATGTTTTTTTGTTGTCAATTTCCTGAGTATAGTCTTGATGATACGTGGAACTTGGTTTCTTTTTTTTCATTATTACACTTGTTTGCTGTTAAAAAAATTATTAAGGGCCTCATATCTTTTATTTTGCCCCGGGCCTAAAATCGGGTTGGACCGGCCCTGATTATATTATGACATACAAGTAAAAAATTATTCTTTTTCAACCCAAGAAGAAACACCCTTTTGCTTTTGTAATATTAATTATTAACACTTAAGAAAAGATAATTCGAATGTGAGCAATCTTTACGAAGCAAACAGGTAACATATTAACTGGAAACATATTATTATTTTCTTTTTACGCATGCAACTCAACATATCAGCACATTACCCACAACAGCAACATATTAGGCCCATAAAATCATGTCTGATTGGTTAGTTGTATGTAAAGTTAAACCACGTGGATGGATTGATGTACAAAATACTACTAATAATAAAAATGATGATGCTTTTCAAGATGATGAAGCGAAACCAAATGAAATCATTAGCCCTATGGAAGAAGCATCCACAAGTTCACGTGATGAAACAGTCGAGTATGGTGACATCTCAAGCAATGCTTCTAGTGATGATAATGATGATGACAATGAGGGTGAGTTTGGGTACAATTCATCAACAAACGAAGAAGAAGACGGAAATGATGATATGTATGATGATGATAATGAGTAAGGCTTCATTAACGATTTGTTTGAAACTTTAGAGATTTGTTTTTTTTGGTTTTAGTTGCTTTACAAATGGGAACGATATTGGTATTAATTTGTTTGTTACACCATCACAATTTAATTATTTTAGTTTATTATAACATTGTAATCTATATGCATATATAGGACAAACCAATTTATACTCTGTGTTGCTTTTTCCTAGCAAGGGTATTTTAGTCTTTCTAATTTTTTTGTAGTCCTTTTGGTGGAAACTTTGGTTAATGATGTGGGGAAATACTAATATGTTAAGGGGTAAATACGGAATTTCCTTAAATAAAATTGGACATATTGAAAATCAAAAAAAGATATCGTATGATGTTATGCCCAGCAACCTGATCCAATTAAGATTGATCAGGCCAATCCTGACACAGCTTGGGTCGGTCCAAACTAACCAGTCCAATAACATTTCCAACTTTGTTCTTGTTCAGGTCCAGGTTTTGTGTTATTTTTCAATTTACTTTATGTTTGATTTTGTAAAAATAGTTGGTTTTTGTGCTTTATACGGATGAATATGGACAGATTAGGACAATAACAAATCATTTTGGTGGGATACAGGGTGGTATTTCTAATGGAGATGTCATATACATGAGAATAGCCTTCAAAAAAACATCTACAATTGGAGTAAGTATTATTAAATTTTGAGAAAAATAGTTGATTGATTTCTTTGACTACAATTGGAGTAACTATTGTTTGAAATTTTCCATGAGATTTGGCATATGGATATAATTTCGAGCATATATGAATAAGTGGATAATAATAAGTAATGTCAACAACATCTATAACAAGGAAGGGTATTTTGTGTATTTTCAAAGGAAAAAGGTTTCATACTGCAATAATTTCAGTTACGGGAGTGAGTTTCAGCTACAAAATCATTTTGTTACCCATTCCATATATATAAAATCATTACCATGTAAATCATACGGATATATATTTACATATATCTTATCATTGATTGAAATTTTTTAATCCTTGTTTCAAATCCCGCCAAACCAAATCTCCCTGTATCTAATCCTTAAAAACCAATTCCCATTAATTACGCATAACTTCCCCACGTCAAGAGTAATCCTGGTGGTGGACGTCTTTGTTCGTCCTGCTTTCCTATCGACTTCTAGGGCTGTTCGTTGCTTCTTACTATTGTGCTCCCACAGATTCTGGTAAATTTTCTTTTATTTCTTCCATCTTCTTCTTAATCTTTATCTTTTATAAGTATCAAAGATAGTAAAATTAATCATGTAATTTAGTTGTGTTTCTACAATTTCTACATAAATCTGTTCGATCTTCTCTAGTTTCTACATCGAGATCCCACCGAATAAAAAAATTGATTGTTGAAGAATTTTTTTTACCGATCAGAATAACACCAGTTCGTGATTGGATTGCTACTAGACAACCGTATATGGCTTTACAGAAAAGTAGGAAGACACTAAAAGGAAAGATACCCACAAATGTTTCACTTATCGGTCGTTTATATGTTGTTGTCTGCCATACTTCTTGATTTTATCAGACTTTTTTTTATCAGTTTCAATATAACTTGTTTGTTTATGTGTAAACCTGGCCTCCTTATAATATTTCATTTCAAATTTGTTATTACAGAAGAGATGTCTCCGTTCCCATTGAAAGGACATCCAACAAGGCCACACAAGAACATGTATAGGTTGTTACAAAGGTACACGAATGAAGCATCCACCCCTGCATCCACACCGACTATGAGGCTGACAACATCTACCTCCCCACTGTTTGGTACTCAATCAGCCCCAATAACCACCCATTCATCCACACCAACACCATCATTTTCCCCTACATCGACAACGACAGCATCTACTACCCCCATAATGTTTAATACCTTATCAGCCCCTTCATCCGCATCAACCCCACTGTTTAGTACCCTGTCATCCCCTTCATCCACATCAGCCCCACTGTTTAGTACCCTATCAACCCCTTCATCCACATCAGCCACATCATCATCCCCTTCATCTACACAAGCCCCATCATCCGCCCCTTCCTCCACAGCAGCCACATCGACACCGATTGCTACTGAACAAGAAGATGCACAACTAGAACAACGCATGAATATTACAGTTCGGGCAAATACGTAAGTGAAAATACTAATTGATTTTCATATTTTTTTTATTTAAGTTTGATTAGTTCATATTATTATGCATTTTTTTGTTTTGTAGATTATTACCTTCAGGTAAATGTTCGTCCATAATTACGAAATCATTCCTAGATAAAGTGGACGAAAATGGATATAAGTGGGTAAATTTAAGTGAAGAGACAAAAATTTTCTATTGGGAAGAGTTTCAGGTAGATTATTTATTATTATGTTTTTTTGTAATTATTAGTCACACCAATCACATATTATAACTTAATTGTTATTATGAATTATAGAAAAAATGCCAGTGGGATGTTGCTGTTAGTGACTCAGTCGTCAAGGCTGCTTGGGAACAAAAGGCCAAAGAAAGATATCAACAGTACATCTATGACATAAGCACAAGAAACCCAACTCGTGAAAAGCCATGTCACATAGAAATACAAGTATGGAATGCTTGGAATGCAATATGGAATTCAGAGGACTTCAAGAAAAAATCAGAGCAAAATAAAAAAAATAGGCGTAAAGGTGTAGTTGGTGGAAAAGCCCCACCTACCCATAATGGTGGATCGGCTTCACATCAACAAATTGCTGCTGATATGGTATGTGTATTTTAACTACTAATATTATTTTTAACATCTTATTTTCATTTCATCTAATGGAGGTGTGTTTTAATTATTTTGGCATATTACATTCATGTTTACTTATGATCATTTTTTGAAAAGTGTTATAGCAATCTATAATATTTGTATAATATAACCACCGCCTTTCCTTATTATTGGTTAATGTAAATTATTAAAGTCTAGTATGATAATTTATTTCTTTCATTTCATGTTGTGTTTGACATATACTTGGTGTTAATGTAGGAGGAATATACAGGAAAAGCTCCATCATGCTATGAACTATTCATGTTTACTCATACTAAGGATCATGACGGAAAAACATTTCAAGTTGACAAAGCTAAAGAAGTTCATGTAAGTTTATTTCTAATTTACTTGATAAAAGGAATTTTTTTTAAAAAAATCTTGTATAAATAAATATATTAATGCAACAATATCATTATAGGATTTGTTTGTGTCTCGACGTGCGGATTTGGCATTGCTAGGAGAGGAAGTTCCTGAAAGCGAACTGTTTTATGCAGCTGTTGGAGGACATGATCGTAAGAAAAGAGTTTATGGGCTTGGATCATATGGCAGGTCCATTTTTCGTGAAAACTTCTCTCAAACATGCACTTCACCAGATACAAGTTTTGAGAAAGATCATCTCGAGAGGAAGATCCAGAAATTAGAGGAAACCATAAACCAACAAAGGATGGAGTTGGATGATGTGAGAAACATGGTTAATGATATGAATAATCAGTGATACACTCTTTATTGATTGCATTTTAGGATTTCTAGTTGAGTTTGAGTATTACACTAATTTGATTGGTGCTTTGGACATAGGGGTATTTCATTTGACAATAAACTATTTTTTTATTAAGTATTTTTGTAATTTCTTTTATTGTTATTGCAATTTCAGAATCTTGATTTTGTTATAAATTCGCTTCAGAAGAAAAAATTGAATCATTTTTTTATGTTTTTTAAATAATCATGTCACCATTTTTTGTTATTGATATTGTTACAGAGTTACTATGGCTATTTTTACGTTGTTATTATGTAGTTGAATTATTATGGATTTTTCTATGGAATCTATTCCGTCATAAATTTTTTTTTTGCAATGAAAATATGTTGTTGTAAATTTACTATGGAATATTTGCAACAAAAATATATTGTAGTAAATTTGCTATGGAAGTAAATTGTAGTATATTTACTACCAACTATCTGTTACAGAATTAGATCGTAGTAGATTCACTATGGAATATTTGCTACGACATTGCACGTAGTAGATTTGCTATGGAAATTAGCTACGGGTATGGTTTGTAGTTAATTTGTGACAGATTAACTATGGATTGGGTGGTAGGTAATTTGCTACGGATATGCTACGGACAACAATTGTAGCTAATTTGCTACGTCACTACTACGGATACAGTTTATAGGTATTTTGCTACGGAAATAAGTTTGTTGCAAAATCCGTTGCGAAGGTCCTACGGATTCCGTAAAAAAAGTTTAGTAACGAGGATTTTTGCAACAGATGGGTTCCGTAGCAAATTCCGTCTCTAACCACACGTAACTACGGAATATCATGGTTTAGCTACGAAATATTTCCGTAGTTATTTCGGATTTTTCTTGTAGTGGAAATTTGTCCCCAAAACAAAATATGATAAGAATTTATCAAAGCATTTCTTAAAGAAAAGTATTTTCATTATATAACAAAATCTCGGGATGTCATGTTCCGATACAGACACATAAGCATAAACAGAACTTACATTTATTTACATTAATAATTTACATCTCCTTTAATCTCTTAGTGCAATATGTCTTCGTATTAATACCTGTGATACAAAGAAAACTGAGTGGGTCAGGCTTGGGAGCCTGGTGAGCATATAGGGTTTTCAACCCACAATAATATAATTATTATATTCACTCATCAAACAATCAACCCAATTACCCATCCCCATTATCTTCTTTATTTCTTAAGGTTTTACCCTAAGAATCGACTATCCTTCCTTCATTCGTTCCTAAGGAATTGGCACAAAGTCCATTGTTGCCTGAGGTTAATCTACATAGTACTAAATCCATAGCTACCAAGGTTCATAGTACTAAATCCATAGCTACCAAGGTTCATAGTTCTAAATCCATAGCTACCATGGTTCATCTACACTGTACTAAATCCATAGCTACTATCTTTTTATTATGAGGCACTAAATCTATAGCTGCCAGGGTTTTTAGAGTACACCGGTGAACATCAAGTCCACAACACCTACAAGTTACGAGCTTGCTAGTGTTCCACTGGATTGTCTAGAATAGTCTATGGTTGTCATCCCTACTCTGCTGAATGACGGAGGCCATCGTTTGGGTAAAGGTTTCACTCATTTTTCACCTGTCACCCTCATCTCATGATCTATATCATCTTTCGTCTCATCCTCAAACTTATTTTCATCACACACCAACTATTTCATCTACCCGTGTTCTACCCAACATATTTGTAGATATAAATTACATATATATAATTTAATTATTTAAAAACTTGTATAAAACATTTGTTTGACATCCATCTCAAGTAAAAAAAGCAACGTATAAACACATAACACATATTTCATAGCAAATACTTCATATCTATGTGGTAGAAGAAAGTAACTATACACTCACGCATATAAACAACAACAACAATATATATATATATATATATATATATATATATATATATATATATATATATATATATATATATATATATATATATATATATATATATATATATATATACAAACACACACACATAACACGTATTTTATAAAATACTTCATATCTATGTGTATGATGAAAGTGACTATACACTCACTTGATCAGAAGATGATCGGACAGCACTACGACTTGTAGAAGTAGTATTCTAGGGTAGATCTGGAAGATCTTCACAAAAAACGGGCTTCTCGCGAGCAGAGCTTCAGCTCGGGAATCTCACTTCTCGGGATCCTCGGGGATTCGGAACTTGCTTCGGGGCTCAGGAATGATATCGGGGCTTAGGGATATAATTGGCACGCAAATCGAGGTAAAAACTAGAGAGAAGAAATAAAATGACCAAAGAAAATGGTTGATCTCGGTTTCTATTTATAGGCTGTTGGGTCTGGGATTACGCTGGGTGTAATTTCCAAGTACGTTGGGCGTAATCTTGGTTACGCGGGGCGTACGCTTCGGATAAGCTTTGGTATGTGTGCCACGATCTTCAAAAATTCATAACTTTCGCATTCGAGCTCCGTTTTCGACGTTCATTATATCCACGCGTAGGTGAGATTATGATCTACAGCTTTCGTTTAGACGTTGGCTAGTTTTGACTTTATTTTTTATTATTTATTTTTAGTAGGTCGGGACAGGAAAACTCCGTTATAAATTCATAACTTCTTCATCCGATGTCTGTTTTTGTCTGTCTTTTTACCGTTGGACTACTATCAACAAGATCTTCAATTCTCGGTTAGATTGTTTCGGCTAAAAACCGCTCGATATCAAATCGAGTATTCGGGCTGCATACCGCTAAGTCAAAACTTAGAAAAATCATAACTTCCTCATACGAAGTCAGATTCGGACGTTCTTTTTATGCGCACTCATGGTTTAATGGACTCTACAACTTTTGTTTAGATCACTAAGGCTAAATATCGATCTAACGTAAATTCACTTTTTACGTCATTCAACGTCGTGCCGGTTCTGTCGCGAAACTTCGACAGGTCATAACTTCTTCGTTATAACTCGGATTTCGGCGTTCTTTATATGTACAAAATCCTTGTAACATATACTACAACTTAGTTAAGATTACTCATTCTAAATAATCTTCTATAAAAAGTCATTTTTGATGCTTAATGTCTCTAAATTGACTAGCCCGGATCTACGGGCGTTACAGTAGCCCTTCTGGCTCACTGATTTGGAATCGGCGGGATTGGCCCGCTTGGCTGTTGGCTGGGACTGTGTCGGTTGCTTATCCCTCCCTTGAGACCCCGCCTCCTCCCTTGCCTGAGTCTCCAGCTCTATATCCCTCTTCCGAGCATTTTCCTGAAGCTCAGAAAATATCCGGTACGAGGAGTTCGCCACGACCTCCTGTATATTCCTCCTCAAAATACTCAGATATCGACTTATACGTGCCTGCTCGGAAGACACGTGCTCCGGGCAGAACATCGCCCTCTCGTGGTACATCCTGGTGATCACGGTAACAGACTCAGTACCCTGCTTGAGGGTCAGAAACTCCTGTGCCAAACGTTGCCTCTCCACCAGGGGAACGTAGTCATCACGGAACATAGCGGTGAACCTCTCCCAGGTCACCGCAGCAAGCTCAGCAGACGAAAAGTGTGCCGTCACAAACTTCCACCAGTCCTTCGCTCCCAAGCAAAGCTAGTTCAGCGTGAACCTGACCCTCAAGTGCTCTGGACACGAACATGTGTAGAAACACCCCTCGATGTCTGAAATCCACCTCATCGCTACAATAGGATCCTGCGTCCCATCGAACTCTGGTGGCTTTGTGTTGCTGAACTCCCGGTACAGCAACGAGTCACCCCCCTGCGGCCTGGCCAGCGGCGACGGCTGCGGTGGCCGCAGCAACAGCAACACCAGAAAGAGCAGCGTATCGCTTGTCAAAAGTCTCAATCAGAGTGGTCTTGATAGACCCGAACATCTCCGGTATATCTACTCTGATGGCAGCAGCCACCTCCTCATGGATCATCCTACGGATCACCTCATCGTTAGCACTGTTGCTCTCTGGTGTAAGGTGTGTCCTGACCATGATGTCTCTGAAATACAACATAAGAAAAATATAAGGGGCTCGCTTGAGTATACTCACACTCGATAACTCTACCCTACTTGATCTCTGGTGCCCCAAGGATTCTTACTTGGACTGTGCACCGCTCCGGTGTCTTTAGTAGTACAGGCCCAATACTACTATACACACCGCATCAGTATACACCCCAAGTCCTCATCCTAGGATCCCAAATTTCAAGTACTCTACTCTCACTATGCATAGTCTACTCTCCAGCAGATCTCTCATAAGCCCCTTGCTGCTATCTACTCACTCTCAAGTATCTCCTAGCAGCAACCCCTAGGCTAAGGCATCACAAATCAGGTCACTCTAGTCCTAATAGGAATACCTAGCCTGCTCTAGCATGCAAAACATATCATATCATCTCATAAACATATAACATAAGGGTATTCTGGGAAATCACCGTTCGGGCGCTGGTTGATCGTACACACGGCTCCGTTCTCCTCTTTCTAAAATCTTTTACTCTTTTAGAAAAATTTGTTTTACTTTTGAAAAATATCTCTCAAATCCTCAGTTTGAGTTCAGATACGCCCGAAGGTGTACCCGAATCCCTCAAACCAAGGCTCTCATACCAACTTGAAATGCCATAAAATTTCAAACAAATTTTCACATTTTAAAAACACTTTATTTCACAAAATGATAAAACTCATTGTTTCATATATTAGAACATAAGTCAAAATCCCAAGATCATAACATATATATAAAACTATGTGTGTGTGTGTACTGATCATGCTGGAGCCTTCCAGCGATCCTCACTAGTACCTGAAAAACATAACACAAAACACTGTAAGCACGAAGCTTAGTGAGTTCCCCAAAATACCAAACATAACACATACTAGCCACTCGAGGCTATAGCTTTGTGGGCCCTTGGGCCCTAACTATGTGGACCTTCTGGTCCTAACTCTATGAACCATTGGTTCTACTCTACAAACTCTAATATACACACATCATAAATCACATAGAAA